AATTCAGTGCCTCACCTCGGCAGTGACATTGAAAATGTGGAATAAAAATTGTTCCTCTATCAACCTATAAGTATCATGATGCCTCAAGATAAAGGGTATTTGTGACCTAACTCCAAAACAAAAAGTTAAAAGAAAATTTTAATCTCGTTGATGAGAGAGAGTATCTTACTCTTATATATCCTCAAATATTATAGAAATGATACCCATGCCGGTGGCGCATGTTAAAACTTTGACTTCCTCATTAAACACAAGTATAAAAAGGTTGAAAACCTTCTATGCCTACATTGATTTCAGTAGAATTTCTAAATAAAATGTGCTATTCTACGAATATTTTTGTATACTTTTTGAAGCTCCAAAATAATTTTTATGAATTTTATATTGAAAACTGATTAAATTATATTATTATTATTATTATTATTATTATATTTTTATTTTTATTCAAAATATTCCAAGTCACTAGTATAAACCATTAAATAAGACATTAACTATTTCTCTTTATTAAACCGGCTAACAGAGAATGGAATGAGGGAATTAAGAGAGAAAAGTACAACAACAACATCAAGCCTTTATCCCACTACGTGGGGTCGGCTACATGAATCCTTTTTCTCCATTGTGTCATATTAAAAGTCAAATTCTCGTTTAAATCTAATAAAGAAAGGTCATTCTTAATATTTTCTAACCAAGTCTTTTTAGGTCTACCCCTACCTTTCTTAACATAAGTCAAATCTAATACCTCTACTTGAATTAAGAGAGAAAAGTGACGAGAGAAAAAGAAAACATAGGGTTTGAAGGTCGTGGAGTGATTCTTGGCTGTCGATCCTGTTGGGAGGTTTGTTCATCTCATTGTAAGGAATCGTTATCCAATTTTAGTTTTTAATAATTTTGTGTTTTGGCATTTTTTCGGATGAAATTTATATTATCTTTATCGAAAAATGAGGATAAATTTATATTGGTAAAACTTTTACTACATAACTTTTGGTATGTGATAGATGCCGTCAATTTGAACATTTTAACAGGAATAAATCAAATTTTCACTGGTTAAATTGGAAGTTATGATTTTTTGAAGTAAATGTATAGTAGATAAATTCGATAGATTTTTCTGTATTCTATGAATTGTTACGTTTCATGCATGACATTGACAAAAATGTAGCATTTGCATATAAGAGAGGCTAGATAGAAGGCTGATTGTTAATATGAATGATGAAGACCGATACTAATTGTTCGATAATTGGGCTTAATTATGATTGATACCTAACTGAGCGACAATTGGGGTAGACCGATACCAATTGGTTGACAGTTGGGCCTAATTAAGACTGATACCCAACTAGGCAGCAATTGGGGTTGACTGATACCAATTAATTGACAATTGGGCCTGATTAAGATTGATACCCAACTGAGCAATAATTGAGGTGGAAAAATATGTTGCATTTATGATTGCATTTACATGATAGTGCATTTGAATTGATTGATAATATAATTGAAATCGTACTAGCATCAATATTGATACAACATAGCATAACATACTAACATGATTCATCAGATGATAGTACACTTTACTATATATCTTATAGTTTGATAGATCTCTTTTGATTTCACTGATCATATTGATTTTATCATTAATTTTTGAAATTTTTATTGCTTATATTAAGTGATGATTGATATTGACTAGAACTGAAACATATATATTGATTCTTTTGCCTTGCATTGAAAGCAATGATAGAGTTTTTGTTATATGTTGAGCTTTTTAGGAATGAGAATTAATAAGAATTTTTCATTTAAATTTTAGATTTATTAATGGTGATACCTTTCCAAAAATAATCCAACAATTTAGGAAAGGGATTGAAGGCTCAAGGAGAATTCAAATTTTAATAAATTAAGCTAGGCTAATTTAGGAAGGAGAGTTAACGAGGATTCTTCATTTAAATTTCATATTTATTGATGGAGATACCTTTCCAAAAATAATCCAATAATTTAAGAAAGGAATTGAAGGCTGAAGGATAATTCAAATTTTGAATTTAGATTTCCCAGATTAGTGCTAGGTTAATTTTGGAAATGTTGGAGTACCAATTTGGAGAAAGAAAAGTGGGGAGAAGAAGTCATGAAAGTTTCAACCATGAGCAAGGGGGGGGGGGGGGGGGGGGGGGGGGGGGGGGGAGGCGGCGGTTAGGATGAAGAAAGGAAGAGGTTATGGTGGATCGGCCAAGGAAATTTACGGGTGATGATTCGGCTAGGCTTGGATGTGAGGATGCTGAGCTTGATGGGGAATGGTGGCATCGATAAATCATGAGCCCGAATGCTTCCTGCAGCTGACGAATCCTGCTTTGTCCTCACCTAGGGACTTCACATGCGCTCTCAGAAAAACTCTCAAACGCACCAAAACATAAAGTGCAGAAATTTTCATTCATCATAATCATCCTCCTTCCCAAGGGGTAGATGAGGTCTATAAATAGACAAAATACAATAAAATATCAAATGACAAAAGTGCCCCCTGGGGTCACATAAACCTACTCCCTTAAGTGAGGATAAAAATGAAAAATTACACATAATAAATCAGATACAATAATTGCTCAGAAATAGAGCAATCCGATCCTAGCCATAGATCTCCGGCTCTTCATCTGATAAACTTTCCACAGTCTGATGTCCTCATCAGTTTCCTATCAGGATCATCAATCCAAATGGAGAAATCACATGAATCAGGATTGATAACCAATGATCTAGTCTTTCCTTGTTAGACACCATCTTATTGTCCATGTTACCAGTAAGCATACCTGTGATACCTTTAAAACAAATGGTACTTATGTACTCATTCTTTTCTAAGCTCTCAAGGTATTGTTGTATGTCAAAAGGCTTCGTAGCCTTCATGGCCCTCTAAGCTTGTTCTTTTTTTCATTTGTCGAGATCTGAGTTGCATTTTAAATATTTAGTTTGACCAACACTTCAATGCCTTGTTGGCCTATTGGATTCTTTTGCTTCTCAAAATAATTTTCTTTCATTGCTACGTTCATCAATTTGTACATTAAGGGTGGAGCCCACACTAGTCACTTTTTATTAGGTATTTGGTAATAATGAATCTAAGTTCACTTGATATTGCCATAACTAATGTTAATTTTCATTCAAAGTAGCTGTAATGCTCCAACCCAATTCAATGACAGTATTACAAATCATGTTAATAGGGGTGTCAAAATGAGTTTTCGGAACTAGTTTGGATCCAACCCAAAATTGACTCATCACTATTTGACCTGACCTAAACCCGACCCGACCTAACACGCTGGTCGGGGAGCAGGCTACAGGGCTACTAGGGGTGTCAGTATTTGATACGACCCGAAAATCCGACCTGAACCCGACCCAAACTCAAACTCAAACTGGGTCGGGTTCAGGTTTTAGGGATTTCGACCCGTTTGTAAAATCGAGTCAGGTCCGGGTTGACTCGAAAACCCGAAATCAACCTGGTATGACCTATTTTTAATTGATTTAGGAATATTTTAGAAGATTGTTATAAAATAAGTAAATATTGTTTCCAAAAAATTATAAACCATGTTTCCCAAACTGAATTAGGCTTTGGTTTATTTTAAATTGATTGTAAATAAATTTTACCTTAATTCAATTTAGGTTTAAATAAATCGAATTAAATAAAAATATTTTAGTAAAACATACCTAAAGCGGGTCCGGTTCGGGTCCGAAAAATCAACTCGTTTGCAAAAACGGGTTGGGTTTAAAAGTGCCGGGTCAGATTCGGGTTCGACCCAAACCTGACCCAAAACCATATTTTGACAGCCCTATGCAGAGCGTGTGAGTGAAGGTTGCGGAAAGCAGGGTCGGGTATGGGATGCGGGGAGGACTTAGGTGAGAAGACGCAGGTGAGCATTAGCTGCAAGCACGTGGGGTCGAGCGTTGGCTGCGAGCACGTGGGGTCAAGCGCATGTTGCAGGCGAGCTCAGGGTAAAGATCTAGCCTTGGGGTCGAGCGCAGGGGGTTGGGGGCGAGAGATGTAGGCCGTAGGGGTCATGTGTGGTGGGTGGGTGTGGGATGTAGGTTGCAGGCGTGACGGGTGTGTGCGCGGGATGCATGCGAATGCTGGATGTGGGTTGCGGGGGGATCCAGGTTAGTTTGGGTCAACTTTAGATTTTCGGGTCAACAAAAAACCTGACCCGATTTTGAAAACGAGTCAAGACATTGAACCCGAACCCGACCCATTTGCCAGATTGGTTGACCATAACCCGAAATTTTTCGGGTCGGATCCAAGTCGGATTTCAGGTTCGGTCAAATATTGACACCCTTGCATGCTAAGTTGATGTATGGCAAATGGGGAGAACATCATTCAATCATCTAATATGCATTTCAATCATTTATTTCATAGCATTGGCCTTCTTGAAAATTATAATCATTAGAGTTGATCATAGCTCCAATCACATGCACACGAAGCCACTGAATTCATTGCAAAATAGTAAGCATTGGATAATCAAATGTAAGTTTTTATTTGCAACAATTGCACTGTTTATAAATTAAAATAATATAATTTCACAAAATCATGATATTTTCTAAGTAAACATCAAAACTTGTATATGTGTCAAGTTTAAGAATAAGACAAATAAAACCCAACTATTATCAATGATCTTCAGACCTTATATTCCTTAAGCACCTTACCCTTGAAACCGAGAATGCATGCAGGTGCAAATATAGTAAGTATAAGACAGTCAGTCACATGGAACCTAGCACAAATGTAATTCACTAAAAAAAAAAAAAATACATGCATGCCTGGAATTATTTCCCCTCCCAGAGCTTGATATAATGTATGAAAAACTTGTATATGTTATCTTTTTTTAGTTGCTGCCTACATCCAGGAATAAGTCCTAGTTAAGTAATAAGAAGAGTAGCATAGTTTTATTTGCAATCATTTTCAGTGAGAGCTGAGCAATTCCTTTTGGTATAATAAATATTGCATTCTCAGTTAATTTAAACGTCTTACTGAAAGACTTGTAAAATGATCTCGTGTATATTAGGAGTTTCTATTATTGAAGATGATGATTCTGGTGTAACTATGGAGCTTGAGATGCAGTGGGATGGCAACCCAAACATTGTCCTTGATATTCAGACTGCAGTAGGTGTTTCACTTCCCATACAGGTGATGTTAGATATTACTTGTACCAGTACCAGCTTTGGGAAGTTTTACTCACCCATCATTTTTTGTAGAATGAAATATCTTCGTGGCTTTTATTTACTATGAATTATCATATTATTCTTTCCTTCCTTTTCTTAAGCTTCAAACTTGTGAATATGGAATTCTTGAGAACCTTGCATGGAAAATATATGCTTGCAACAGTTAAAAGTTACTTGAAGGACTTTATGTTCGTATTGCTTTTATTATATCTGAAAATGCAATTGCTTGATTTGAAAATTTTCAATACCATTCATAATTTAGAGTTCTAATCAATCATATTTTATAAATGCTGTTACGTCTTTGTGATGATTTTCTTGATAATCAAGTTCCTTATTACTTTCCAGAGTTAGGCGCCCTTGTGAAAGGATAGGGCACATGCTCAAAGGTACCTGACAATGGCTGATTTCTTAAATGAATTTTATTTATGAAGGTTTCAACATAATATATATTTTACTCATCTCAACAAGTCGAACTACATGTGTTGTGATGCAATTAACTGATTGCATACATTAATGACCTACATGTTTTTGAGCAAGTTCATAGAAGTGTTATGGAACTGCGTTCAGGTACCAAATTTAGATGTTAGTTTGGCAGGAAGTCTAGAGTTTAGCTCAGTGGAAGAAGTGTCTTCCAGGTCTCCTTTCATAAACTAGCCATAGTTGCTTATACTAGAAACTACTCTAATAAAACCCAAGGGGAAATAAAAATTAAAGGGAATTGATTGAATATATTTCATTTCAATATGTACAATATTTATAAAATTTTAGAAAAGCATCGAATAAAAATATGAATTTTGTTCAATTATAGAGTGTGGACAGTAAATGCATGGCCCTCTAGCTCAGCTGCAAGAGCTTGTTGAGCTGATTGAGGTTGTCATCGGTCCAACATTTTATGCTTGATGGACTTGATGATGACGTTATTTACTTCTATGGTTAATATATTATGTGCTTGATCTCGTCACAACAACATCTGGATGAGAATTTGTGCTTGATGGACTTGATCCATTAGAAGAGTGTTATATCAATAATTGTGTTGTTAAGAGCAAAGATCACATCAATGATCTTAGGATTGTTGTATTTGAAAGAATCAAAAAGTTTGACCGCAAAATTCTCTCAAATGCACTTCCATGGTCTCATCATAGAGGTTTTTGGGAGTACATTGTACGTCACGAAGGAATATAAATTGACCCCAATAAAGTTAAAGTAATCATCAAAGCCGCCGAAAAGTCTTCGCCAACTTTATTCTTTATGAGAATATCTTGCGTTCATTAGAACATTTATATCAAATCAGTCAGGCATATGTCAATCATTTGTGAATATGTTGAAGAAATATTTTCGTTTTTAATAGGATGATGAATGCCAAAAAAACATCTGACGTTATCAAGAGATATCTATTGAGCTCACCTATTCTTGTAGTGCCAATTTTTAGGAAGCATCTTATTTTGTATATAGTAGCATTGGAAGAATCACTCGAAGCATTGTTACAACATAATGAAGAAGGCTAGGAGAATTCTCTCTATTGCATTAGTCAAAGAGCAATAGGAGCATAAATGTAATATTCTACAATTGAGAAGCATTGTATGGTGCTAATCTTTGCCGCTCAAAAACTATCATTATATGTTATCTTATAAAATCACTTTGATTCAAAGATCAATTATTTAAACTTCTTAGATGATAATGCCAATATTGATCGGACGTTTAGCCAAATGGGTAATAATACTTTTATATTTCGAGATCACTTATATTTCCTATAAAATGATGTAAAGGAAACTATGTAAATTTTCTTGTTGCACATCCCATTACTGTAGATTTGCACCTCAGTGATGATCTACCTGATGAGCAAATTCTCATCATTCATGAAAATGAAAGACTATGAATATAAGATGTATTTTGATGGAACATCATCTGTCAAACTTCCCAAAGGCTTGAGCTGGTATTGACCTCATCTTTGTAACGCCCGACGGGGCATAATGAGATATTCATTTTGCTTGACTAAGCCTTGAATACAACAACAACATCATCAAGCCTTTGTCCCAAGGTCAACTACATGAATCCTTTTTCGCCAGTATGTGTTGTTAAAAGTCTAATTCTCATTTAAATCTAATAAAGAAAGATCATTTCTAATATTTTCTAACCAAGTCTTTTTAGGTCTACCTCTACCTTTCTTAACATAAGTCAAATCTAATAACTCAACTTTCCGAACCGGGTCATCGGAAGGCCTTCGTTTAATGTTAGGACTGCAAACAAACCGAGCATAGCTGAGCTTTGGCCTGTTCAAGTTCATGCTCGTTTGTCAAAAATGAGCTCAAGCTCGGCTCGAAGCTCGTCGAGCTTCTCAGACACCTGTTCGACCTCGAGTTCATTTAAAAAATTCAAGTTTGAGCTCGTTTAATTTCAGGCTTATTGAGCAGCTCGTTAAACCAACTTATCGAGCTCGTTAAGCATTCCGCCCATACAACCCTCCTCGCTCTCGCCTTTCAGCAAGGCATGAAATAACTTTGTTTTTATATAGCATACTTGTTGAATTCCAGGCGGTGTGGGACTAAAGAGCCTACAATTTTTTTTATAAAATTTTTTGATGCCACAGAGGAGAGAGAAAGGCAGGCGGGAGTTAAAAAATGCTAAATATATAGAGAGAGAGGGCGGGCGGCGGACAATTGACTGAGCGGGACTTTTTAAAAAATTTAATAATTTTATTTTTAATGTGACTTTGAGCGAGCAGTAGGCTCAAATAAAAAAAACTTAAATAGTTATTAATCATTAATTAAATAATTGTTATTAGTAAATAAATGATAAGTAATATTATTAATGAGAATTAATCTATTAATAAAAATTAATATATAATAATAACTTATTTATTAAATATATATTATAATAATAAATAATAAGAATTAATCGAGTTCTTTGTTCACGAAGCTTCATACCAAGTATGTTTACGAGCTTTAAACGATCATATTCACGAACCTAATCCAGCCAAACGCATTGTTGTTCATGTTTGTTTATTAACCCATCGAGTATTTACAAAAGTGTTCAAGCTTGTTCAACTAACTAATTAAACGATCACGAACGAGCTCTTATCGAGCCGAGTCTCGAATAGCTTGTCGATCGCTCGGTTCACCTGCAACCCTATTTAATGTGACTAAACCATCTAAGGTGACTCTCTCTAATCTTTTCTTCCACTGGAGCTACTCCAACCTTATCTCGTATATGCTCATTACGTATCCTAACTGTGGGCTCTGAAAATTCGGCCCAGGCCTTCGCCTGCTTGCTTTTCTTCAGGGGAGTTTTAATGGAATTAAGTTCCAGGGTAAATTTTGGGAAGGCAGATTGGTTTGTAGATAAGACACTACCCAGAGATTTCGCTCTCATTTTGCGAGGACTTTATGATCTGAATTCTGGTTTCTTATAGGCGCAAGCCCCTATAGTTAATTACTCCTCTCGATCACGAGAGAAAACTTTTGATTAAGGATAGTTGTCGATCATATATGTAAAACCTGAAAAATAACGATCTTCAGTGTCACACGCATTTCGATGCCCCGCAACAAAATTAGTCAAAATTTCAAAGTCGTCGTAATTCGACGCAATAAATTCCATAAAATATTACGCAAAATTCTGAGCGAATCGGTATAAAAAACCCATATTGGATTTCACGTATTTTGGAAGTTAAAATTCGTGGAAGTTTTATATGACAAGTTTGCCTTTGATGTCATTTAAGTGGAGGTAACTTAAGTAAGGGCATTTAAGACCTTTTACATTAAACCCCAATGCCTGCACTCTTATTAGGGGACCGAAATATTTCGGTCCCCATTTCTTTCGTGCGGCCCGAACCGAGCGGAAGGAAGCATGGGAAGGAGGCTACGAGAGCGGCAAACGGCGGTCTTAGGGGCGGTTTCCGATGGCGATTTGTGAAGAAGATTAAAGGAAAATCATAGGGAAGAGTAAGGTGAGCTCTTATAGACTTTTTTTCATGATTTTCCTTAAGGTTTTCTTAATAAATAAATCTATGATTTTATGAAAACTCAAAATCTCTTTAAGATAAGGATAGGGAAGGCTTAGAGGGTGTTTCTAAACACAAAAATGAGATGATTTCTTAAAAAATATAGATTTTAAAAATTAGAAATTTCTCCGATTTTTGTATTCTTTCAAAATGTCTTTGTAGGAAAGTTTCCTGATGACATTATAGAGCTTTTATGCGTAGTTAGTTAAATTTTAAGAAGAGATTTTCATACTCCAAGATTTAGGGCTTTCCAAAATCATGAAAATTTTTAAGTGTATTGGTTCCTAATAACCTTCGGAAGGTTTTTAAAAGCAAAAATTAGAGCTTTAGTACAAAATGTTATTTTTCTAATTTTTAAATTAGGTAAATCCAAAAATTTATTGCATTTTATTTAATATTTAAGTATAAGAGAGGTTCTTTATGCATATTATAAACAAATGAATTGAATGAGGTTTCCAAAATGCTAGATTTATGATTAAGTCTCAATTTAGAGGAAATAAAAATGGTATTTATCATGAATTGAGAAAAGAGTTAATTAGAAAGTCTAAGCATAGTGTATTGATGAGTTCCTTATTCATAAATTAGGGGTTTTAGGAGTTTAAGAGAGAACAAGTAATGTTTACACTTTATGTATATCTCTTGTAGATATTGATTGCGTAAAGGGAAGGTTGTAAAGACATTTGACGAATCACACTGCGGTGAGGTATGTAAAATAAAATTCTTTTAAATTTAGAAAGTTTTTTAAATACAAACATGTAGAAATGATATTTATTTTTATGTTATTTGTAATTTCATTTACGACTAGCATATTTTTACATAAATGCTCATGATTATATAATATAAAAGCAAATTTTTTATATATTGATAGTAAAAAATGATAAAGCTCATCTTTCTTTATTTACAAGTATTACATATGCCTTCTTCTACATGCAACATACATATGAGTATCACTCTTTTCTCATGTAAGT